TACCCTTAGACACACAGTAGCTACTCACTAAACATTGGCCACCTCTTCTGGCTCCTTTTTTTTTTTGAGACAGAGTCTTGCTCTGTTGCCCAGGCTGGAGTGTGGTGGCGAGATCTCAGCTCACTGCAACCTCTGCCTCCCGGGTTCAAGCAGTTCTCTGCCTCAGCCTTCTGAGTAGCTGGGATTACAGGTACCCATTCACAACCCCTGGCTAGTTTTATATTTTTAGTAGAAACAGGGTTTCACCATGGCTGGCTTACTTTATCAGTTTGAAGCAAGTTCTTTCTCTTCCTAGTTTTCTGAGAGTTCTTATCACTAATGGAAATTAGAAATTACAAAACCCTTTTTCTCCATTTATTGGGATTGTCTAAATTTGGCCTTTTTTTTTTTGAGACAGAGTCTTGCTCTTTCACCTAGGCTGGAGTGCAGTGGTGTGATCTCAACTCACTGCAACTTCCGCCTCACGGGATCAAGCGATTCTCTGCCTCAGCCTCCTGAGTAGCTGGGACTACAGGCATGCACCACCACACCTGGCTAAGATAAAGGGGAAAAGTAAATAACTAGGTTGGCAAAAAAATTAAATGATTAAACAGAAAAAAAATAGATTTTATTTTTTTGAGATGGAGTGTTGCTCTGTCACCCAGGCTGGAGTGCAGTGGCAGAATCTCAGCTCACTGCAACCTCCACCACCCAGGTTCAAGCGATTCTCCTGCCTTAGCCTCCCAAATAGTTGGGATTACAGGTGTGTACCACCATGCTGGGCTAATTTTTGTATTTTTAGTAGAGACAGGGTTTTACCACGTTGGCCAGGCTGGTCTTGAATGCCTGACCTTGTAATCAATTTGCTCCAACCTCCCAAAGTGCTGGGGAAAAAAAAATAAATTTTAAAAGGCAATACCATTTACAGGATGCAGGGGTTCCTTCCGTTTCAGTGCTGAATGGGATAATGACAATTCCTTTTCCTCGTGCTGATTTTTAAAGCCGTCATCTATGGTGCTCTTAGCCTCTGAGAATTTCCATTCAGTGTAGTTCACCTGCTTCAGAATAAAACAATACCACATAGCTGGTAATGTCTTGGTTTTCTTCATTTCTTCCTTCCTTCTTTTTAAATATTAGCTCTTTTTATCTTATTATTTAGAGACAGAGTCTTGCTCTGTCACCAGGCTGGAGTGCAGTGGTGCAATCTCAGCCACTGGAACCCTCACCTCCCAGGTTCAAGTGATTCTCCTGCCTCAGCCTCCCAAGTAGCTGGAACTACAGGTGCCTGCCACCATGCCCGGCTAATTTTTAGTAGAATCAAGGTTTCACCATGTTAACCAGGATGGTCTCTATCTCCTGACATCATGATCCACCCGCCTTGGCCTCCCAAAGTGCTGAAATTACAGGCATGAGCCACTACGCCCGGCCTTTTTAACTTTTATTGCTTTTTTGAGACAGAGTATTGCTGTCACTCAGGCCATAGTGCAGTGGCATCATCTTGGCTCACTGCAACCTCTACCTCCCAGGTTCAAGCGATTCTCCTGCCTCAGCTTCTTGAGTAGCTGGGATTACAGAAGCCCACCACCACACTTCACTAATTTTTCTATTTTTGGTAGAGACAGCGTTTCACCATTTTGGTCAGGCTGGTCTCAAACTCCTCACCTCATATGATCTGCACGTCTTGGGCTCCCAAAGTTCTGGGATTCCAGGCATAAGCCCAGCCAATACTAGCTATTTTTTTTTTTTTTTTGAGACGGAGTTTTGCTCTTGTTACCCAGGCTGGAGTGCAATGGCGCGATCTCGGCTCACCGCA